ATATTTATTATAATAACAGTATAAATATTTAAAATTATAAAATATTGTATATAAAAATAACGAATTACCCAGGCATAAGTAGATAAGACAATTTTTTCAGTATTCAGTAAAACGTCAATTGTTTCGTATAATCCGAAAATGTTCTACAAAAGAATGAATGAAGATAAAAAAGTATACAATAAAAATTAAATAAAAAACAAAAGTTTTACTTAAGTTTTAATTTTTCTTATTCTTGCATTTATTCTTGTCATTTTCTTCCTTTTAAGAAATATAAAACAAACAAAAATAAAGTCTGATACTTTAGCAGTTTAATTTTACAACTCTACCAACAAAAAAAAAAAATTAAAAAATATGTGTTTAGAATTTAGAAATTTCATCACTGAAACCGCTGTTATATTATGATTTCACTGTAGCTTAAACTACTTATCTTAATAAAATTAAGATTTTGTCGTTTCCATAGGCTTGAGTTGATTTATGCATATGAAATAGCTGGTTTGCTTACATTTTACATATAAATTATGTTTGTAATTTTCCTTGTGGGAAATTTATTTTTAAGGAAAGTTGTATTCCACATTTTTCGCTTTAGATCAGCTGATTTATTTATAATAAGCTCATTTATATGAAAGCTCTTTGTATGATAAATTATCCTCATTAGCGGCCTTAATGAGCTAAAGTGCCTAAATGAGACAAGCAGATACATGGTATTATGCTTATATATTTTAATATTATATATAAATAGCTTTTCTGTTTAAGAATCTATATTCCTTAATGTGACTTTAATTTGAAGAATTGTAATTGTTTTAGTTTAAGCTGACTTTTGAATTGTAAAATATTTTTCTTGAAAAGTCAGGAAACAAATTCATACAGTTCAAAGCGATTTAATATGAGGTTAAATAATCAGATTAGGAATAACGTGAAATAAAATAACAAAGTCCGGGTTGTGGATTAGGATATATGTATATTAAAATTCGGTTGAAACACGATTTAATAACTTTGTTATCGATATTACTCTTGTTTGTATTGTAAGGCTTGTCTTAATTTTAAAATACTGTAGGCATTAACTGATTGTTTTACTAATTCAAACTATCCCGGATTTACTAACTATGCTGGATTTAAAATTTATAGATTATGATAATTTTGAATTTAAGATTTGACATGGGTCAATAATGGAATAAATAATATTTCCTTTATTCAAAGAAAGTCACTTCCAAATCTAAACAAGTGAATTTATAGTATTAACGTTTGGCTACTAAAATTTCCCTCTATGTTAATGACAAAACTAAATTTGTTGCTGATATACAACATTAAGATAAGTTAATATTTAATAGTTTACATTTTTCGTGTTATAGCATATTCACAATGTTTCATTTAGTCCATTTTGCTTATTATAGTCACTAATGAGGGTGATTTACCATACAAAGTCCTTTCATACAAATGAGCTCATTATCAATAAATCAGCTCTTTTAAGGCGAAAAATATGGAATACAACCCTTAAATATGAATTGTTTGTAAAATGTATGTTGTATATTATTAATGATATATTATGATATACTATTAAAAAAGTATAAAAATGTGTAAAACTTCTATCAGTTGCATACATGAGCTTATTATAATGTAAACGTTAACAGATTATTATAAATGTACAAGTGTTTAAATGGGACAGTGTGAACGTACTATTAAGGTGATGTCAAATTCATTTTTCTCAGTTACTCCAAGTAGCCTCAATCAAAGCTATATCTGACAATTTTTGATTTTAATTGATTATTAAATTTCGATTCGGCACTCTGTTTCGTTAAGGCTACAAATTTCCATAACTAGGATTCAAAAGCAGATATAATTTTAGTTCCGTTTTTTTCCACAATTCATCATTTTTATCTCAAAATTTCAATTAAATTAATTTACATTAATATTTCTACTAATACCTATTTCACTTCGTTACATTGTAATCATACTTCTAATTTCGTTCTAATTTAATTATAAATTAATTTGAAATATGAGAAAATTAAGTAAAAGGAATAAATTGCACAGTTGTTAAACTTATTTAATTATATCAAAGTTCAACAAATTTGTTTCGGATGTTTTGAAATATAGTTTTCAGAGTTGCATTTCTAAGTATGTAAAACTAATTATTCAATGTTGTAAGAATATCTAATGCGACGTGTAAGATTTTATTGGGTTTTTTACTAGATTTTTTTATATATAAGATATTTTGTTTTTAAAGTTCAGTATGTATTAGGTAATTCTCTTCCTGATTGCTTTTTAATTTACCCGTAATGTAAATGCAACTGATAGGAATTTTAAAAAGCCAAATTTTAAACGTGTTTTGTAAAAGACAATGACACAAAATTTAAAATAAAATTAAACATTTTCTACATATATATTTCAAGAAAACAAGTCATTATGGTGCTTTTACGTGATCACAATAATAAAAAGTAAAGCAAATACTTGCATTTTTCAGTGATGCATGTTCATTAGATTCTTTTTAAGGAAGGAGTTTCGATGCAATCACTCCGTTATTGTTTTCAATGTGCTCTGCATATAAATGTTGTTTTGTAACGAGCGACTTTTAACCAGTTTGAATACACCTGGAAGATGTTATGAGCTAAAGAGCATGTTTTAATAGAATGCGGCTAAGAAAATTAAACTAATCTAAATTATTATGATTCTAAAAATTATATTTTCTAACTTATGATTCTAATTATTTTCATAATAAAATGATGTTCATTACATTAGCAATGAATCATTATCGATTCTAATTAAAATGTGACTGTTAATAAATAATATTTTTTAAAATACAAAGTTAAATATATCCAAACATTTTTTTGATGAAAATATTATTATATAACCACTCAAACATAAGAGTAAATAATGAGTGAAGAACCAGGTGAAGAACCGGACTTTCATAAAGGACAATAATTAAAGCAGCGTGGTAACTTCAATAAGATTCTGGAACAATAAAAATTGTTATTATATAGAGTTTAATGTAAATTATATTGTTTATCAATACTTTATTTTTTGTTGAATAAGTTTAAAGAATTAAATGTGATTTAAATATAACTTAGACGAATTTAATTTTTTTATATTTTTTTTTAAAAATGGAATTCGAAATTTTGTATGAGTACCATATAAACTGAATTATTAAAATTTAATTTTCTACATCATTTATAAAATTATATATGTATTTAAATTAAATATAATAAAATAAATTTGTGAATTGTACCCAAAACTAACTATATTGATACAAATTATAAAAAAATCTTTTTAATTGTTTAAAATTTTACTAAATTTAATGTAAAGTATTTCTACTTATTTCTACTTATATATATATATGTATACCATTATAAAAATCTATATTTATAGATATCGATTATATCTATATTCATATAGATATATAAATATATAGATATATATAGATAGATATATATAAATTCATATAGATATATTTAGATATATAAATTAAATATAGATTAAAATAGCTATACCACTAAATCTATAGAAGAGTTCTTAAATATGTAAATTTTTGATGATAGAATTGAGCATCCCTTGATGAAAATAAAAGTGTTTTAGAAATAAATAAAATTAAATTTTATAAAAATTATAAAATAAACTATTATTCTACATTTATATTTCATTTTTAATAATCATCTTTGATGTGAATTATAACATTAATTAACCTTAATCAACCTTAATTTAATAATATGTTTTTAAAGAAACTCAAAAAAATTTCAATAAGTATAGTAGTTCAATAAGAGTTGTAACGGAAATAGGAAATGGGCTAATGATGATTGGAACCCTTTGCTTTTTAGCATATTACAAATGAAATTTATGTGGGTAGTGTAGCAATGTAAATTTCTCAGCACTCCGTACATTATTTTGATAGGTAATAAACGTAACTACCATCCGATATATCTTAATTTAGTGTCTCACATTTATTGGTTGACTTAAAGTATATTACACAATTAGTAAAAGGATTTTATATCAAATTATTTTGGAACTATAGTAAGAATTGTTTTCATTTTTGAAATATTTAGATTATTATTTTGTAATAATTGAATCAGTATTAAAATTTGTTAACTTTTTAATTCTCAAGATATGTTTGAAAAAGAATTTAAATTGTCTAGGATACAATAAAAGGAAATTTCATTTCTTAAATTCCCTTTCCCTTTACCACTTAAATGTCAAAACATATTTCAGTGGTTGTCAAACTGTTTAGTCATTAAATTGTTCCGGCTGTAATAAGTCGTTGAGTATTTAAGTAATTTTAATAAGATCTAATAAAATTAAGTTTTAAATTTTTAATTATCTATTAAACATTACGTTAGTGTTTTGTATATTCAATTTAAATTTATAAATTAAATAATTTATTTTTAAAAATTTTAACGGTATGAGACACAACATATATACACGCATACACACACTATCGCAGTTAAAAACATTTAAAGCAACAGTTTTTATTAAAAAGCGGAAAAATTTAGTGTTACTGTTGAAAATTGTAGAAAAGAGGTAAGCATAAGCTTAACATGTAAATAAATTTCAACAATCAACAACAGCAACAACAGTGTCAGCAGCAGTGCTAACACCGATACAAACACCAGCGTCAATACCAACAGTAACAGTAACAGTGGCAGCAGAAGCAACAGCAACTAAAAACTTTTATCTTTTGTTTGTTTGTTTTTCTCTTTTTAATGGAAAATTCGCATATAAAAACCGTTGCTTCAACGTAGCTCAAACTTCAGTTGATCGTTGCCTTTGTTGTCGGTTGGTTATAGTCGTTGTTGTCGCAAAAGTTTGACAGTTAACATTTAGCTATTTAAACAAAAAAAGTGTTAAATAAATAAATAAACAAAAAATATTTATTTATTCTTTTCTTTTTTATAAAATTGAAATAATTTTGATGCAATATCAAAGTGCAATATTTATATAAACAAAATATTTTATCTTATTGACGCATGTTTTTTAATATAAATTATAAAAAATAATTAAATTTATTAAATTAAAGGGAAAATTAAAATTTGAAAACAATAATTAAAGAGAAGCTGTTAGCAAAACAATTTAAGATTCGAAGCGGTTTTAAGCTAAAATAAAAAATGCAAACCGTAATTAAGTAAGTTTAATTATAATTAATTTTTATAATATATTTTTGTTGTTTGTTGATGTCTCAACAAGTAAACGCAAGTAAAAATTGTTTGTTTTTAATTACTGTAAAATTTGTATAATGAATTTATTAACTAAAACTTAATGCCTATTTAATGAAAGTGCTTAAAACTTAAATTTTTTTAATTTTGATTTAGTTGCGTTTTAATTTTTTTTTTTTCAAAGTTCAAGGTTTAAAAGCTTAATTAAAATTTATTTACTAACAGAGCCGAGTTTTCTTTGCGTAGCGTTTATAATATAAGTTGAAATAATATACGGAATATATTAAACTAATAAAATATGCCACTATATAAAAGTGGTGATATTAAATATTAAATTAAATATAAAATAATTAGAAATTTAAATTATAATATTATAATTTAAATTTGTAATTTTTATTGTTATACTTTGCATTTCTTCAAAAATAAACAATTGGAAGTAATTATTATTTAAAAAGACGTATATCGAATTAAGTAGTGCTGCTTATTGTTTTAATCCGCAAAATTTTCATAAAGTAATTTAATAGTAAAGTACCGAAAAGAATATAAATAATAATAATTATTACCTGGAAATAATTATAAATGTATATCAGTTTATTATTTTTAATATGGGAATGCCCATATGCTTATTAGCATATATATGCATATTTTAATTTTAAGCTCTGTTTCTTTTGAATGATATATAAATTGGTAAAAATATATATAATTTATTTAATTCTGCAGAAAATTTCTTATGAAAATTTTTATTTTCTCGTACAATTTGTATTGCTTAAAAATGTTAACAATATAATAAAATATTACAAGAGCTAAAGCATTTGTAAAAAAATTGCTTATCAGTTTTTGATACATAAATATTTCAATAAACTGTAAATTCTCTCCGAATGCATTAAGTACATATGTTATTTTTGCAAGTGACCACGGCTTTGAGCTTTGCGGGATTTACCGTTTCCCTACGAAACTAAAAAAATTGATAAGGGATATGTAAATTACCATTGTGAAGACAAAATTTTATTAAAAAAAACAAAAAATAGTAAATTTTATTCAAAACCTTCGAAATATATTGTACATAACATATAACAGTTTTCTTAATTCATTACGGTTCATCATTAAAAATGTTGTTAGATAATGAATATATTTATTGATATATCTTGAAATACCATATGTTAATATAAATGTACTTTCAAGGCATTATAATTTTTCTTACTAGTATCAATAAATGAAAAAATGAAAAGTTTTTTGGTTCTTCAATAATTCTTTATTCTCTTAAGTATCTGTATTATTTAATCATCCAACTTATCATTTATAACCTAGGGTTAATTTACAGACTATCCATTAGCAATTACATTGTATTATATGTAAAAAAATTTGTATATGAACTCATTAAAAATTTATAGTTCAAATAATTATTTGAAATAATTATTTCTTTTTAAGTATTAGATCTACACAAAAAAGGAAATTTTTAATTATTGCAATTAATTACTAATGAGTAAAAAGATATTGTGCATCTATAAAAAAAAAGAATCAGGAAGAGATGTTATTTCACAAAAGATAATAAACTCATTATTAATAATCATTCTATATTTTTTTTAGAAGGTTGCAAACTTAACATAAAATTCTCAGTTATAGTTATTTCTATAACTGTAAATCGTAGAAATCAGATATTTATTATTAATCGCTAATACATATGTTTGTTTTATTTGTTGGCTATTTATACTGATATATATAGTATATATCAAAATATATTGATAGTATATATCAAAATATTGGTAATAAATGTTTTTTTTTTTAAATTACTTAGTGATTTTGTTTTTATTTTATCGACAATTTATTTTAATGTTTTGATAGCATAAAAAGTGACGCATGAGCTTATATGTAAAACGTGTTAGATTATTCCACTAAAAGCCTATAACCATATCAGCTGTCCACAGATCCATTAGTTCATAGGATGAAACGAAATTTTTTTTGGCATAATTCAACGTTATTCATTAACGTAGCCTCTTTAGGAGTAACATAATTATTCAAGAACTTCTCTCATATTTTAATACCTCACTTGTTAAATGATTTTTCTTTGACTTTAAAATATGCCCTAGTTTTGATATGACTTTTCATTGGAACCAAATCTTTTTCTCTGAATTCTTTTTTTTTTTTGTTTTTTGGACTTTTGCGTATAGTTATAATGACTAGTTACGTCGTAATTTCATTTACGTTTAATCAATGACTTCATTCTTTTAGCTCAAAACTGAATAAAATTCAGTAATATCAAATTCATTTCAGTTTTACTGAACTATTATTATATTTTAATCAACCGTTTTAGTAGTATCCGTATTTTTAAATGAACTGCAATATATTAGTTTAATTCCTTCCTGTCTCAAAAAATTTTACATTCTAAATAGAGTTTTCATTTCAAACTGAAATGTAAATCACTTATTTTATCATTTTTTTGATCTCATATTTACTACGGGATTATTTCTATTCTATTCTACTACGGGAGTTTATGCAGTTCAAGAAAGAAATATAAAAAAATTAATAAATGTATAGATGTTTAGAACATCTATATTACTTATTTGATTGCAATTGTGTGAGTTATCATTATTGTAGAAGAACGTAACAGGTGTTTCCTCAAAAATCGTAAAATATCTATTTTATACAATTTTAAATAGGAATTTATTTTCCATAAAGTCTATGAAAAAGAAAATAACAACTCTGTGTTCCAGAAGACACTGATGTTGGGTAACATATTTCTCAGCTAATTAAATGAAGATAAAATAGAAATTAATTAAAGATGGAGTTAATTAAGTTTTATTGCTTATAATACTTTTGTATATCACAAGCAAGTGTAATAGATAATTGTTTTGGTTTATTGTTTTATCAAGAATAAATTCATGGTTCCATATCTTTTTTATCCATTTTTAAGATATGTATTTCTATTATAAACATAAAATATTTAAGTAGTAATTGAATACCGATTTTGTGAGTTGTTCCTAAAATACTATTTCAAATACCTAAACTAATAATAGTAAAAAGTATATGATATATTTTTTTTTTACCATTATGTTGATTAAAATTGTAACGTAATACAATTAAAAACTGAAGTGTTAATATATCAATATATGAAAATATTCATATTTTCTGGTACTAGAATAAGTTCTGTATTTTTAACGCACCTTTTTCGTATGTCCCTGTTATCTTTCTGTGTTTAAAAGCTTTTAAAAGTTGCACAATTACAGCGATATTTTCACTGTTCCGCTATAGTAATAATTAATATCGTTTTGTGTCACAATTCTTCTATGCTCCACAGAGTTACATCTCTCGTACCATAAGACAACGAGCAAATCTCATATCTGAGTTAGAAAGTATGAGCAAATAACACTTATCTAAAAACGGTAATCAAACGCTAAAAAACTTGTAAAGGAAACTGCATTATCTTCCTTCATAGTATCCACTTTCAGACTAATTTCGTACTTAATGTAATTGAATGTAAAATGCTTAAAAATCTAAGTGGAATAAATAATTGACAGGTTTGTCAGTTTAAATAGATCTGAACTTAGATTATTTATTTGTTTCTTAACTAAACAAGCTTCTGCTAATTATTGACTTTCAAAGATTGAATTAAAGATTTTAGACACTAGTATGCTATGTGAAACGGAGAGCGAAACATACATAACCATGTACTCGTATTTTTACTTTTATCTTCTATTGAACGGATGAAATTTGTAGTCTTAATGGGCTTTTAGATTTTATTATTTGTCTTGATTTGTCTAGATTTGCTTAGGGAACTTTTTTTAACAGATAACACAATATATCTTACATGTAGCTGTGTATGATTGTTCTTATAATAATAGTAATAATTAAAATCATCATCTTAAAATTTACTAAAAATATATTTAAACATTTTTTACCTTTAGATAAAGTTAAAAATAAATAAAAATAATTTCAAAATTTCTGTTAATATGTAGGTATATCATGCTAGATCACCCCTTTATCGTTCATTTTTTATTAGTGAGCAATATAAGTAGTTTAAACTCAATATATTGATTAAATTAATATTTAATTTAAATTTATTGATGGCTCAATAAATCAGTAAGATAAGTAAAGATTAGTGAGTATCTTCATGCATTTGCACTTGTTCAATTATTAACTAATTAATTTATTAATAAAGATTTTTATTTACAACAAAAAAAAAAACTTTTAAAATGTTTAATATGTATACATTTCTTTTGATTAACTTACACCAATATTTATGTTATTTAGGTTAAAAAATTTTGAATGTTTTTCAGACATGAAATGAAAAATTTTTTAGAAAATTTTAAGAAATTATTTTGCAACAAGCCTAAGTTTTTGTTTTCATTATTTGTTTACAAATGTCATTAA